AAATTACATGCCCTGGCTGGTGTGGCTCAGCGCCAGCCTGAGAACCAAAGGGTCGCCAGTTCGATTCCCAATCAGGGCACATGCCCAGGTTACAGGCCAGGTCCCCAGTAGGGGGCGTGCAAGAGGAAACCACACATTGATGTTTCCCTCTCTTTCTACCTCCCTTCTCCTCTTTAAAAACAAATAAATAAAATCTTAACAAAATGAAATCACATGAAGTTGTGGAAGAAAACTTGGGAAACAGTTTTGATAATCACGGAGTGGGGTAAGCCCAAAGACAGCACACCCAGAAGAAGAGTTTGACAAGTGTGTCTCCCAAACCTGCCCACAAAGTCAAGCACCAGATGACAAACTGGGAAAAATATTTGCAACTCATGGTAAAGGATTAATTTCCCTAATTGATAAAGAGCTTTAAAACAAAAACTCCACTGGAAAAATGGGCTTGAGGATTTGACTTACTTCCCAAAACAGGAAAAAGGAATGGCAGTTCACCAATTGAAAAGAGAAATGTAAACTTAAACCTCCTGGCTTGAGAGAAAAGCACTTTCCCCATCAGACAGCGAAGTAAAAAGTTGGGTTGGGAGGGCCTCTAGTGCCCAGCCGTGTGGTACCACAGACCTCTCCTCTGCCAACTGAGAGGGACACCTGGCCACATTGCAACATCATCGTTGCCTTTGACCAAACACTCCCACTTCTAGGAGCCTATCCTGCAGGCATGCTTCCGCAGGCGTGGGCTTCGGCAGGGCTGGGCTAGGTGCTGAAGGCTGGAGACAGCACAAACGTTCATGATAGGCACTAGTTGAATGAAATCATGGTCTATCCTGGCCCTAGCCAGGGAAGAGTGGAGACTCTTCAAGTACTGAGACGGTGTATGTATATTCCTCACCCAAAGACATTTTTTTCCATTGCTTTTAGAGAGAGGAAGGGAGAGAGAAAAACATTGATGTGAGAGAGAAACATCAATTGGTTGCCTCCTGTGTGTGTCTGGACCGAGGCTCATAAGAGCCCAGACTAGGGATCAAACCCACAACCTTTCAGTTACAGGATGACCCTACAGCCACACTAACCAGGGCAAGATAGACTTTTAAGTTTTTTAAAAAAAGGCACAAGGCAAAACTTGTATAGATTATGCTACCATTGGGGGGAGCTGGGGGCGGGGTTATACATACTTGTATATGCACAAAATGCTGCTAGAAGGACTTGAGAGAGGGTTACCCTGTGGAGGGAGGGGCCAGGAAGGGTTCCTTAGAATGCCTTGAATTGAGCCATGTGAATATATCACCTACTAAAATGAGAATAAAATTAGGTGCACAAGAAACCAGGTCTCAGGGGGACATGGTCACAGGGGACACGGGGGATGAGATTTTTCATTTGGAATTTTTGGATTCAGAGGCCTGTCTGTATGTTTTGGGGGCTGGACCCATGAGACTATGGAGTCCAGACCTTGTCCCAGACCAGGGCTGAGGCTCCGGGAGTAAGGGGACAGAGCCAATTTCTGGAAACTGGCAATTTTTGTCTCTGAGGCGTGTGCTCACTTAATTAACAAGGAAGGGAATTCTGGGCAAGTGGCTGGTGGGTTTGCATTGTGTTCCTTCACACATCCCCATCCTAGATCTGCTGCATTCTCTCGGGGAGACCCCGAGGGCTGGGACCTGGCTTTGCCACTGCTCAGCTGGGAAAGGAGGGTGGGCTGGCAGGAGAGCACTTTCCGGAAACACTGTTCAGGGGACCAGCACTTAGCTGACCAGTGACATGAAGAGTCAAGGAAGATATCGGCAGCCCAGAAATGCTAGAAACTTTCTAAGCTCCTGGGGGTCACCCTGCACTGTATCTGTTGCTTTACAGGCAGCAGGGGAGCTAGCCCCACGGCCTGAGCCGCCAGCTCCTGTGCTTTGGCGGGCCTCTTGGTATGAGTCAGGGTCCACAGTGAGGGTTTCAGCTGCAGCCCCACAAGAACCTTGCCCTACTTCAGGGTCTTCCCTCATCCACCTCCAGCACCGCCCAACTATGGGTGGAGCCAGCCCCCAAGACACCTGCCTGCCCACACTCCCTCACAGTCCCAGGAAGGCGGTTCACAATTTATCAAAACCTGACCACAGGCCCCTTACTTGATCCTTCCCCGCCCTCTGTGCCCCTGAGACTGTGAGATACCCTATCGGGCTCCACGGTTGCATCAATAGGTAGGAAGGACATCTGGCAAATCCCTTCAATTCACAGATGGGGGAAACTGAGGCCCAGAGCAGGAACAGAGCAGGCAGACTCCAATTTCTCAAGGGAAGCAGGCAGAAGACTGAGGGGAGCTGGGTGGAGGCGGGCCCTGAGGGAGGGGTCTTGGCTGTGGCTGGGGCAGAGGGCAGTGGGACCTCTGCAGTGAAGGCATGCCTGGGGAGTTGGGAGGCCCAGGTCGGGGGGGGGGGGGGGCTTGCACTGCTGCCCGAAGGTCACAAAGCCAGGTGCAACCTCCTCTCAACACCCACAGGATGCTGGAGGACACAGGGAGAGAACCCCAGCTCAGGGGACTTAAGCCAAAGCCTGGAGGGGGAGAGACTTTGGTGTCATCACATACTGGGTGGCCTCAGGGGGCAGATGGGGAAATAGGCATTCCATGCAAAAGAAACAGCACCCACAAGGTGCCAGGGCCTGCACACAGGGGCTGGGAGGACTGTGTGTTACCCTGTAGTCATCAGCAGATGACACGGTACCACCGGGATGATGGAGAGAGGGAGAGCAGGTGGCAGTCTGTGCTCCTACAGCACCTTCCCACACTATCTGTTCCACACGTCACTTTTAAGTGTTTGGAAGTTAGTTTCCGCTGCCATCCTGAATGCTGACCACACTCCTGTGGGCCCTAGGGTGGTCGTTTGAGGAACAGGCTGCTAGGTGGACGGTGGAGCCCATGCTTGGGAAGAAATGAGGCTGGCCAGGGGGTGACTGGAGTGAGGGGCAGGGCCGGCTACTAGCTGCAGGGAACTTGGGAGCATGGTGGGCAGGGTCAAGACTGTGGATCCCTCTACCCTTTCCAAGGTGCCACTGCCTTGCAGAAGCCCAGGCTGGTCAGAGCCTCATGCTTCCGGGTTCGTGGCAGGGAGCGGACTGATGTCCACTCCCAACTCCTGAGCCCCTCCGGCCTTCAACACAGCAGGCGCCCAGCCTGCCCTGCCTCCTTGGCTGTCAGAGTCCCCCACCTTTAGTTGTAGAGGTACTCGTTGCTCAGGTGTGGACTCAGCAAACACTCGAGCTGGCGATAGTGAGGATGAACACACAGCCAAGCTCTGGGAGGTGGCACCCAGCAGTGCCGCACCCAGGGAACCCAGGGTCAGTGTTCCCATCTGTGAAATGAAGGAGTTGGACTGAACGGTCAGAGACCTTCGCCCTGCTCCCTCATGACCACCACCTGCAGTGCAGGCTGAGGGCCAGGGAGAACGGGCCTGACGCAGAAGAAAGAGGTCCCACTAGGAACTGGAGGGCTGGAGGCACACGAGAGCCGAGGTGATGTGACAAAGGCCGGGGCTCAGGCAGAGATAGGTAGAAACCTATTAAGTGGCAGGTGCTGAGACCCAGGACCACAAGCTAGGCTGAGTGAGACCTTTGGCTGCAGTTGGGGCCATGCTCCCAACCCCAACAGGGAGGCAAAGGGGAGGCTCCACGGCTCTTCCATGGAGGACAGAATGAGGTAAGCTGGAGGAAGTCCCTCACAGACCTTTGTGTAAGAGAATCGATTCCCCAAAGACGGGTGACACCCCCCTCGACTCCAAGCTGATTCTGCCTTCTTGGTGCTTTTCTGGAAGTGAATCCATGATGCCCCCGGCTGAACTGACTGAGGCTGAGCCGGGAGAGCTTCTTGCTCACGACTGTGGGATGTCAGTGATGCCACAAGCTGACACATTGATCAAGGGCTGTGGGTGTGGGATGGGCTGGGCCACTAGGAGTCATCCTAAGGAAGGAACTTGTCACTGCCTGTGGCCTTGCTTAGCATCTGCTGCCAGGGTACATGGAGGCTCTCACACTGTGGGGTGGGGAAGTATTCTGGCCCAAGGCAACTGGCCTGGGCTGTTGCAGCACTGTTGCAGGGTACCGTGCAACACTCCCAGGCTGGGAGGATGGGCAGCAGGGCAGCCAAGGCCCCTGTGGCCCAGGAGCATTCGCTGCAATTGCCCTATCAGCACCCCCACAAAGGGGTAATCCTGGCCCCCAGTCATATTGGGCCTTGATACCAATCCCAAAGTTCCAAAACAATGAGATTTTTCCAGGTTATAAACTGGGGCACCAACCTAGCATAGAGTGACCTGGGTTGGAGGGAAAAGGCTTTCTTTCCCCAGGATACCCTTTGCTCATCTGGAAGATGGAGGAAAATGGGGCCGAGAGAAGGTCCAAGTCCAGCTGATCTCTGACCCAGGCCAATCAGATCTGGACTCCAACCCCCCTTCTTCCCCTCTTCCCTGCCAGCCCTAAATCACTGGTGGCCCTGCACCATGAGTGGGAAGACTCAAATGGAGTCATAAAGCAGCCCTAAGAGGCTCTCGTTCAAGTTTGATTCTTGGGTCTGTGGCCCCAGGCAGGATGCCAACCAAAACTGGACCTTCTTCTAGGGGAGCAGAGGGCAAGGCTGGTCAAAGCGCAAGGGCAGAAGATTCTTAGGGGGCACCTCTCTGAGCCTTAGTTCCCCAGTCACTGCCCTGGCCAGGAACGGATTCCACCACAAGCCAAGTCCAAGGAAGCTAAGGTCTCCAAACCATTTATTTCTCCCGACCGTTGAAATGGGAGGTCCCTGGGGGCAGGTTGGGCAAATGCTAGTGGTGGCGAGGTCTGGGGTCTGGTCCAGCTGGATAGGGGTGGCGTGGCCCTCAGGCGAAGGTGGAGCCGTTCCAGCCCACGTTGGCTGCATTCATATCATAGTAGTTGATGTAGATCCTGCGAGGGATGTAAATCGAGCTGAGCATTCTGCGTAGTCGTGGGCTGTAAGCTGTGCTCCCGGCGTCCCCCACCCCCACCCCCAGTGACCCCAGTCCCCCGCACCTGTCCGGGCTGACGCGCAGGCGCTCGGATAGCAGGCCACACAGCAGCTTACTGTAGGTGCGGTTCTGCGCGCCGCCGATCTTGCCGATGCTGTGCAGGCTGCAGAGCGCGCACGGCTCGCTCGAACCGCCGAAAGCCATGAGCTGGTCCGGAACCACGTGCACCGCGATATACTGGGGGAAGGGGCGCCGTCAGATGACCTGAACGTCTTTGCCAGCCCCAGGCGCCCCCTGATCCTTCCCCGCCCGAAGCCGCCTCCCCCGCCCCACTCTGGGCCCACCTCGGCCGGCAGGCACCCCCTCTTCCAGTTCTCCCCGACAAACCTGGGCCGGTTTGCCCGTAGCCTGCGCCAGCTGCTGGGTGAGCTCGGAGAGGAGCCCGTCCGGCACCGAGGCGCGGGGCACGTTGGTGTTCACCACGAACATCGGCATGATTGCGGAAGGACGGGGAGGACTGGGACACAAGAACCGACAAGCGCGCGCGACCACAACTAGGAAACCTGAGCTACGTGACGGCCGCCCAGTTCCGCCCCAGTGCGGCCGCGGCCCCGCCTCCTGTGACGCCACCGCCGGCGGAGGCCCCGCCCCAGTGGCTGGTGACGTCGCCGCTGCGGGCGGGGCCCCCGAGAGACTCGGAGAGGGTCGGCCAGCCTTTTCCCCAGAAAGTCCCTGGCTTCCCGCACCTCCTGAAAGCCATTCCCTACCTGGGGATCTGCCTGTCCCTCGTCGATCAGTCCTTTCATTTAATCACGCATGTTACAGGGATGTAAGTGTGGAAGTTTAACCATCCCAGGATCAAGAATGGGTTTTTTTAAAGTTTTTTTTATTTACTTTTAGAGAGAGGGGAAGGGAGGGAGGGAGAAAAAGAGGGAGAGAAACATCAATGTGTGGTTGCCTCTCATGTGGCCCCCACTAGGGACCTGGCCCACAACCCAGGCATGTGCCCTGACTGTGAATATAACAGTGACCCTTTGGTCCAAAGCCCACGCTCAATCCACTGAGCTACATCAGCCAGGGCAATAATGGGGTTTTTAAAAGAAAAAGTGCGAGGTTTGTAGGAGAATGAAGGAGGGGTTAGTCTCTTGTTCTGGGCTGTTGCCTCAAGGTTTCGGGATGTGAGTGGGGACAACGGGTTAGGTACAGGCCCGGGCGTTCCCAGGTTACAGGAGGGTCAGTCTGACCACCGGCCATTATGGCTGATGTCAGATGTCTCATGGTGCGAGATGGGAGAGAGTTTCCATCAAGCCGAGGGATAGCACGTGAGCAGGGGTAACTGATCAGGGGCAGCAGTCCACTGGGGCAGTCAGGCCAGCTGGGAAACTAGCCTGACCCTTTCAGTGATCGCCTCAGGAAATGGGGGACTCTGGTCCCAAAGCCCGTCTTAACACCAAGGTGCAGGCAGAAGTTTCGTTTGTTTTTGTTTTTAAGATTTTATTTATTTTTCAAGAGAGGGGAATGGAGGGGAAAAGAGGGAGAGAAATTTCCATCTGTTTTCTCTCTCACGGACCCAACTAGGGACGCCACCCGCAACCCAGGCATGTGCCCTGGCCCAAAATCACATAGGTGACCTTTTGGTTCTCAGGCTGATTTTCAATCCACTGAGTCACACCAGCCAGGGTGCAGAGGTTTTTATAAGGAGGGAGAGGGAAAGTAGAACAAAGAGATCAGGGGTGGGGGCTGTGGACATGCAAGCAGTGTCCTTATTTGTCCCTGTATGAATTTTCATGGTCAGCACCCTTGAGTTGGCCATCTGGTTTTTTGTAAGCTGAATTCCTGTGTCTGCGCAGTTGGGGTTAGCTGGGGCCTTGGGGTCAGGGCCACGTGAAAACTGAAACTGCTAAACTATAAAGTATACTTAAAAACTTTAACATGCAAGCTCTCGTTTTGAGAGAAAAACCAGGTTAGAGTAACAAGCTGGGTTTAACAATTACTGTCTACCACATTCTGGCTCTGAATTCTTTCAGAGAAAAGAGGTGCAGGATCTCTTCTGGAGTTGCTTTCTGCTGAAGAGGAGTGACATTTTCCTTCAGGGCCAAGAAATCCTTGCTCTCTGTCAGCAGGATGATGAGGCCTGGGCATGGAAGGAGGTGGTGATGGTGTCGAGAATCAGCATTTCCTGAGCATGGAGACAAATTGCTACAAATCTCAATATTATTGGGGCAAAAGCTAGAAAAATTCAGGATCCAGTTCTCTTTATAACTAAAAAATAAAACTTTGAAGGCAATTAACTGAACTACAACCTAACATACATAACTGTATTATAGACTCTACTGAAACACAATTTTTCTCCCCTAAAATCACCTTCATTTTCAACAAAGAGCCAACCAAGACCAATTCATTAACTGCATTAAGTCCAGTCTCAATTCAGCCTGATTATTTGCATAAACACAATAAGAACAGCAACTGATTAGATAGGTTTTCTTAAATCTTCTTTGCTGCTTCATTATAAGGAATTTCCAGATTGAGTGTTAATTAGCCTCTCAGGGCAGAGAAGCCAAGCCACACAGTTGCCATCAGGCTTTGCCTACCATGCCTACAGATCAAGTTCTCAAGGTCTCCAAAATGTCTCGAGTTTCTTGCTTTGCCATCTCCTAGAAGAGCAGTCTTTGCTCCTCACCTGGAAAGAATGCCATGAACTATATGAATAAGCAAGGGATCAGGCCACGTCTCCCAGGGACTCGTATTGGCTTCAGAGTTCATCTCCATCCCTTCAAGTTCTCTGGTAGCGTCCAGAGGCCAGGCATGTCTCTGTAAGACATGACATTCCAGCCAAAGTTCTGGTTAATAAAACCACAACTGGAAACTGGCTTTCTGTGTGTTACTATAAAGAAACCAGATTCTTAATGGATGCATGCAAATAAACATATTACCATAAAAATTATAATATTGATTTAGAGTTTCCAAATTCTGGAGGGATTAGGTAGGGAGAAAAATATAAATGCTTCAGTATTGCTTATGAAAGTATAATTTACCAAATTGCTTTAAGAAAACAAAAGCCCATCTCTGGAAAGCAAGAGGGAAGTCCTTGTGCTTTTAACAGTGAAAAACTACAGAACTCCACCTCTGTCTCAGCTTACTTCAGATCCTTAAATTCATTTATTTAATTAAGTTCATTATTCATCTTAATTATATCATTTCCTTTCAAGGTTTTTTATGCTCCATATTGTATAGACTGTAATAAAGATGACACTTTTTAATTTAGTAAAGATATTTAAATATAAGACTAATTTTTCTCAGGATATTTTAAATAACATTTTTTAAAGATTTTATTTATTTATTTTTAGAGCGGGAAAGGGAGGGAGAAAAAGAGGGAGAGAAACATCAATGTGTGGTTGCTTCTCACACTTCCCCTACTAGGGATCTGGCCCACAACCCAGGCATGTGCCCTGACAGGGACTTGAACTGGTGACCCTTTGGTACGCAGGTGATCACTCAATCCACTGAGCCACACCAGCCAGGGCTAAATTTTAAAGTGGTACTTCCAAGTTAAGGAAACATGCCTTTGTTTTTATTTTATTGACTATTATTAATAGTGCATTTTTACCAGATTGGGCTGGGGCAGTCAGGAATTCTATGACTGGTCTTTGATTTGCTAGTGGATGGTCAAACAAACTTTAAAAAAAAAGTTAAGAATACTGTGATACAAATTAGACCATGAGCAGCCCCAAATACTATAACAAGAAACATAAGCTTTTTAAAAATGTCCTGAAGATGTATGCTTTGGCTGCAGCTGAAACACACACCCCTATTACTGTTGAAATTTCACTTTGTAACACAGAGCAGCCCAGCATACCCAATGCCTCGGCTGAGTGCTGGTGCACCGAGGACTTAGTACTGGAAACAAATGCATAGGAAATGTGTGCAGAAAAACCGGAAGAAAACCCTATACAAATGGCCAGATTAACCATGGGTTTGGAATCAAGATTGCCGTTCCAGAGTGCCATGAAACCATTATTCCTACAATTACAGGAGCAATAGCAGAAGTTACCCACAGGGAACTAAGGATAAGACAAACATAGCTGTTGACTCAACAGTGACATTTTGAACAGTGTTTTCTGATAATGCAGTATCCTGTTATTTCCAAATATCTAGGTATTTAATCATCTTCACCATTTAATATGGGCAGCTTTACATAAGCATAGCATATTCATTCCCAGATATACTGGGGGGCTGGGGATACGGCGGTTAATAGGACAGATGGCCCCTGGCTCCCCGGGGGCTCAGAGCCAGCCAAGGAGGTGAAGTCCCACCTCATTCTATCACATGTGCTGAGCCCTTACCTGTCCCAAGTCTCCAAGGGCTATTGTCCTCTGTGCGTGTGTGTGAGAGAGAGTGTGTGTATGAGTCATTGCTGCAGGTGGGAGGAGGGCTGCCACAACAGAGTCACCATCCAGGTGTCTTCCCTGCATTGCCACCTCCCTGCCTACCCGCCCCAGCATGGGCGAGGATGCTGGAAGCTCCAAGGAGAGGCACGGGGAGTAGAAGGTGAGGCCCAGAGGGAGCTCCACGGGTCAAAGGCAACTTGGCCTACCCCTAGACTTCAGGTCCCCTGGACAACTTCTCTGCAGGTCTGGGAACTCCAGCTCCTCAGGGAAGCCCCGCCCCAGCCAGGCCCTCTACGGTGCCCTCCCAGAGCACTCCTGCGGAATTCTTCATGTCTTCCTCTGTCAGCGCAGCAGGCATCTGGTGGGCACCAATCACACAAGAATAAATATTAAATGAACCCATCACTGAGTTCACACAATGTGTATCTACCGTGGAGAAAGTTAAGTGTATTTTAGTAACTCTTCAGAAAGTTTTCAAATAAAAGCAAAATGTTTAAGAATGCAAAAAAAAAAAAAGACTAGATACTGGCTGAATAAGTGAGTGGGTGAATGAAATAGCGAGGACACGGCAGGAAGAGGCCAGGCGGCAGCTGAGCGGGCCCCGGGCTATATTGAGAGCCAGGGACGGGACTGCAGGGCCTGCCGTCACTGGGCAGAGGAACCTGTGCTCCAGTGGCCACCCTACTGCTGCTCGAGGAGCCCCACCTGGCTCAGGGTGCTGTGCTGGGGAAAGGATCTCTCTCAGGTGCTAGAGGGGGCACGTTGCGTTTGGCTAAGCCCTCGGAATGCTCCAGGGATGTCCTGTCCTTGCTCTCTGGCAGATGCAATAGGTTTAGGTGGCACAGCACAATCTGGCCTTGGTGACAGTCTCCGAGGCACTGGCTGATGCACCCTGTGCTTAGCTCCAGCCCCGGGGTGTTCTTCTGGGCTCCAGCAGCCCACTCAGCACTTTCTGCTCTTTACGTTCCAATGGAAGTGTGTCACTCACCCTCCCACACTTAACTGCGTGCCAGTGAAATGTACCTTGCTCCCTGGCCCCTTTATCCTCACTTCTCTCCATCCACCTCACCACCACCTACCTAGCTGGCATCACCTTTGGCCTGGCCTGGACGCCTGGGGGAGGAGCCCATTTCCCTGACCCTAGCAGCAGATCTGGTCAAATGACTTGCTTTGCCCAGTGAAATATGGATGGTAGTGACATGAGTGACTCCAG